GAATTTTATTTTGAAGAGTTTACTCTAATGGTTGTAAACGGATGGAAAATACAGTTAAACCTTAACCTGTTCATAATTTGATACTAAGGTTCATGAAATTCTACTAATTTTATAATGCACTAAATTTTCTCTCTAAAGAAGAGTTCCTGGTGAATGAAAAGTTACTGCCTCCTCTGTACCAGGGCCGTCATCCTCCCTGGTAAAGTGAGTTTTAATGACCCTGGAAAACCATTGTTTATTTATTTAAATATTGGTTTATTTGACAGGGAGAATTTACATTGATAAACATTTATGTAGATGTGCCAGAATTAGCCTTAATAGCTATTTTTATCTCCCGGACAGATGTTGACAGACATCCTAAAAACAAGTATCAAGTTAAAATACATACAATATAACACTGGAATACATTATGTAAACATTTTTCATATAAAATAATAAAAAAATTAAAACATGCAACAATTGATTGAGTTGGTGCTGACAGGATTTGTGATCAACGAGCCTCTTCCTGAGATGACACTGGTGCTGCTTTCTACTCTTGTGCTGCCCTCACTGAGAAGGAAGCCTGTTCTAAAGCTCTTCTCCTCAGTGGAACCACAGTCTCCTCTAGTAGAACCTCTGATGTTGAGAGCAGCAGCAGATCACACGTTCAAAAACTGCTCCAGGGGAGGAGAGGATAAACCATTAACCACCTTAAAAATGACACAACAATGTACATATTTAATAGGGCTGAGTATTGGCATGGGTGTTGCGATCCGATATGTGTCACGATCCATGGGTCACAATATGATATTATCACAATATAGCAATATCACTATATACTGTGATATTTTACCCAGCTATCAAAATAAATTTTCTTAATCAAAAAACAAATGCTGTATATGTTCATCAGAAGATATTGATCGGTTAGTTAATCGGTATCAATGGTGATGGGGGTTTGAGTCAGTCCACTTCTTCAACTATGACAGCCTCGACTACAGATATGGCGCTGCGCCGCACTGTTAAAGGACTCCACAGCACTATCTGCCAGAGTGGCGGTGGGTAAAAACATTTTTTTTTTTAAATTGATATTAAGAACTGAACAGTTTATATTATATCAGGAACCCTCCACTGTGGAGGAGTTTAAGTATCTTGGGTCTTGTTCACGAGTGAGGGACGGATGGAGCGTGAGATTGACAGATGGATCGGTGCAGCGTCGGCAGTGATGCGGTCGCCGTATAGGACTGTCGTGGTGAAGAGCGAGCTGAGTCGGAGGGCAAAGATCTTGATTTACCGATCGATCTACTTTCCCACCCTCACCTATGGCATGAGACCTGGGTAATGACCGAAAAGACAAGATCACGAATACAAGCGGCCAAAATAAGTTTCCTTAGCAGGATGGCTGGGTGCACCCTTTGAGATCGGGTGAGGAGCTCAGTTACCCGGGAGGAGCTCAGAGTAGAGCCGTTGCACCTCCACGTCGAAATGAGCTAGCTGAGGTTCGCTTGGGCTTCTGTTTCGGATGCCTCCTGGTCGCCTCCCTCGGGAGGTGTTCCAGGCGTGTCCCATTGGGAGGAGGCCTCATGGAAGGCCCAGGATACGCTGTAGGGACTATGTCTCTGAGCTGGCCTGGTGTCGCCTCGGGTTCCTCCCAGAGCAGCTGCAGGAAGTGTGTGCGGATCAGGAAGTCTTGGTATCTTTTCGTAGACTACGGCCTCTGCCAACCGGCCCCAGATAAGCGGAAGGAAATGGATGGATGGATGGATGGATGGATGGATGGATGGATGGATGGATGGATGGATGGATGGATGGATGGATGGATGGATGGAATGAATATTGGGGACAAGAAAATCACAACATATATATCGAGATCAATTTATTCCCACACCCTTAATCATATTTTGTCAATTTTGAAATTTATATTTTTGCAGTACACCACAGTATTGGTAATGCTGTGGTTTTCTGTCCAGTCCTTTACTAGCTTGCTTATAAAGAGACTAATGGCTTGAGCACCGCAATGTTAGAATTGCACCAAATAGAAAAGCAATATTTAATATCCATTGAATGCATAATAACTTTCTCTGTTTGTTTGGAAAGTTATGGCCATATAATACAAAAGTTTCAACAGCTAAATTTCACTCTGAGACGAACTCTTTTGTTCTGTGTTTTGAATGTGAACATCGAGCCATAACCCTAAATATTTAAATTCAGGCACAACAGCTTAGATCTTTTCCACTGCCTCATAGACCTTTGGTTCAGAAAATCATGTAAAAAAACTCTTCCACCGTTTTTGATATGTTAAGTTGAAAAACGGTTTTCTTTGAACCATGCCGTAGCATGGATCATTGACTGTGTCAATTTGTCACAAACCTGCTGTGCGTTTGATCAATAGGAACAAAGGGCTGAATCATCTGCGTACATTTGTGTGGGCATATTTGGGCAAACCAGAGGAAGATTATTAATATATAAAGGAAAGAAGAAAGGCAGACAGATCGAGCCCCGGGGTACTGCTGTATTTAGACAGAGTAGGTGACAGCTAGATACTCTTACAGATATTTGACAACTATGACTAAACCTCTTTACCACCCCAGGAGAAAAATTAAACCTTTGCAAATTCATCAGTAATATTTCATGTTGTACGGCATCAAAGGTCTTTTTAAAAACGAGAAATAGCGCTTTAACAACCCCACCTTATCAAGCATTTTTTTTAAATAGTCTCAGTGAGGAAGCAAGTTGCAGTTTCAGTGTGTTTGGCCCTAAAGCCAAACTGCATCAGATGAAGTTTGAATGGTGAGCTGTTTAAATTATATGTCATTCGTTCTGCTACAGTTTTCTCCAACACCTCTGTCACCGTAGACAAAATACTAATCAGTTCCTAATTTAAAAACTGAGAATTTACCCGCAGGTTTAAAAAGTGGGATTATATCAGCAGACATTCCTTTTTTAGGAAATGTGGCCTGTGCAGTTGTTTAATTGATTAATAATTGTTGTAATTGGGAGAGTGAAGTATGCAGCCAAGCCTTTCAGCTTTAAAACATCTAAACCAAAGCTGTGTTTTGCTCCTGAGGGTTCCTGACCGAGGATCCCTGCAGTGGAAACACGCCTTAGGAATGGCTCTCTATATCAATAACACACACCCCAGGAACACAGGAGGTCCTAAATCTAGACTGCTTTGAAAATGTAAACTTCCTGGGAATTTTGAGCAACTTAAAACTATATTAATATTATAAAAAAATAGAAAAATTGAGATTAACAATTTTGATTGAAACAATTGTCTCTTAAACATGGAATACTCTACTGCCACTAAATAAATGTAATCAAGTTAATGATGGATTTTTCTTTTTGAAATATAATAAAGAGGGAACTGCCTTTAAGGGATTTTTGCTTTTCTTCTCCAGGAGAAACAATACAGTAAATGTGCAGGGTGCTGTATAACATATAGCATAAAACGGAATTTGAAGAAATACCTTAACCTTCTTTCTTTGTTAATTACATAACAGGTATTGTTTCTAATCTACATCCACTGACCTTATGTTCCTTTATTACATTTTTTTGTAGTGAATCCTGCCTTTACACTTTAATATCTGATGTCAAACAGCAGAATAATTGCTAATGAAATCATCCCAACGTAAAAAGGCCTAATGTGTTATTTTCCTGATCATTTAGGCGTTGCAGAAAGGAAGGAGTCCCTTGGTTCCGGTCGCTGTGCTTTCCAGCAGCACAGAATCCTCTGAATCCCAGTCAGATTCGGATTCATCGGATTCCACTGATGCAGATGATCTGGAGAACTGGATGATCCTGGGTCAAGGGAAGCAGGATGGAGACCGGTCCATCTCACTGAATGTGGAGGGAGGATCTTACAGCAGTGGCACAGGTGGGTCCTTCCCTCATCTACAGCCTGCAGCGGGTTTGTTGATCAAAGTTTGGACAATTTAATACAATTCTCTGCACCTGAATATGTTTGACCACAGAAATGAAACCACTGAGTAATTTTGTGTGGCTCAAATAATCCCGATTTACCTCGTCTACCTGCTGCACGTCGATAAGGAGCGGGCATTGCAGAAACCCTGTCGGCGAACAATCTGTGTGAATGCATGTTTGTATGTGCACCATCTGTGTCGGCATGTTTACCAACTTGTAAGCTCTTAGCATTCCTGGCACTGACGGCGCCGTCGCTCGCCTCTCAGATGCATCTTTAAGTATGCCTGTGTGCGTTTTGCATTAATCTGTGTGAGTGAGAGAGTATTTGTGTTTGTAAGATATTCCTGCTTTAATCAGCATGCATGCGTACATCCACGTGGATACCAACAGTGGTAGCGCTAATGCCAAAAACAAACAAACGGGTTAAAAAAAATAAAACAACGCAGCAAACGGCGAGGAGGGAGGAGACGTGGGAGTAATCAGAAACTGAATAAAAATGTTCCCCTGCAAATCTCCTCAGATCTACACATTATCTTAACCTGCAGCCTCAGCAGCCTCTCCAGCTCTTCCTCGGCCCCCCTCCTCCTCCCTCCGACCGACCTAACGCTCTCCCATCTCATTCTTTTATCCTATTTTCTCACTATTGTGCTCCTGCTCTCCCCTTTCTCTGTCTCTCCCTCACCATTTCGTCCTCATTTGAATTTCCCTGGGCTGATGTTTCTGCAAGAGTGCTCACTGCCTCCTCGACACACAACTGGGCTGAAGGAGGGGGTCTGGAGCTGGTGGGAAGGCTGGAGGTTTTGGCCTGGATTTTGGGAGGAAAGGAGGATTTTAGGTCTCTGTCTTTCTGCCCCTCGTCTGGCTTCTCTCTGTGATCTTTGGAGCTTGACCTCATGTCTGCATATTGGGGGTCATGGGTGTGGTGCGGAAGGAGACTTAAAGTGAGCGGAATGGGGGAGGGCTTTGTCCAAAAAACAGGGAAATAAAGGGAAGGAAATTAAGGGACGAGCCTCAGTAGTCCTGAACTGTGCCTCAATTCTTCACTGCTGTCTAATTCCAAGCGGGGTCTGGGATATATTGAATTTTAAGCTTTTAGAAAAGCGTGTTTTCTTATTGCTAGGATCGATTTTATTTCTACAGATATTCGTATGTGTAGTTAGACCTTGATCTTTGTGATGATGTAGGCCACAATCTTTCATAGCCATTAAGATGCTCAGTGTTGCTTATTTTCAGTTGTAACAGAACAGAACGGCCCCACTCATAGATTGTTTGGTTGTGCTTTCTTTGCTGAAAGCTACTTGGCCTTTTTTCTATGTCCAGATTTTAACTTCATACACCTCTTTTTATCTAATAAATTTCTCAACGATATTTTATCATGTAATTAATTTAGTTTAAATCAGAAAAGCAACAGTGATTCCCACAGCTGCTGTGTAGATAAAACAGATTGAATGTTATAGCTCTAAAAAATGTCTTGGCATGTTTTTATTTATTGTAGACACATATAAGGGAGTAGAAATTGAATGTAACACTCAACTGTTTCGTTTTTCAAATACAAGTGATTACAAAGCACAATTATTTCTATGCTGCTCTTATATAAGGTGGTTAGTTGGGCTTAGGGAGCCTGCCTGCATTTCAGTGCTTAACAGACATGCTGCCTATAGCTTCCCAACTGTTTCAGAGCAAAGTTATTGTTATTCAGCCGTGGATGGGAGTCCAAATGGGCCCAGTGAAGTCATTTTCTTGCTCCATTTTAATTTAAAACTATTTCGTCGTATCCCAGCTGTTCTATGTAATTGAGATCATTGGGTTTTAGATTGTAACTGTTTTTCTTTTTTTCTTTGTTGTTGTTCTATTCCATTTTTACTGTTAACTAGCTCCCATAGATGGGCCAAAATTGACCAACATTTATTTACCCTAGAATAAATGGAAACCCTTGATTCTTATAAAGGGATAAAGGGTCTTGCTCAGAGACTCAGAGTGGCAGTCTGTGGAAGTGGGGCTCAAACTCAAACCTCAGGATTCCAGTCTCTATGCCCTATCCACTAGGCCACCACTCTCCGATGGACAATATATAAATAAACTGCTCAAAAATGTCAAAAACTAAGAATTTAAATGTAAAATAATTTGGCGTAGTCAAAGAATTTGAATAAAAATAATAATTCAGTTCAATTCATTTTATTTATATAGCGCCAATTCAAAACACAATTCAAAGGCACTTTACAGTTCCCCAGATCATACAGTCAAATTGATTCAAAGTTTTTCTATCTAAGGAAAACCAGTTGATTGCAGTGACTCAATGCAATCCCTCACACTAAGCATGCTTGGAGTGACAGTGGAGAGGAAAAACTCCCTTTTAACAGGAAGAAACCTCCAGCGAAACCAGGCTCTGAGTGAGCGGCCATCTGCTGAGGCCGACTGGGGTTCAAGGAGACAGAAGCAGATGGCAGTGGTCCTCAGGAAGATCATCACCAGAACCATCGTCATTTTGCTTAAATGACTTAAATTGTCATTTTAGCAAAATGGTTCTAAAAGGATGCGTTTTACCCACTAGTGGAAAACCCTAAAGTCCACTATTAAAGCGACTCTGTGTAACATTTAGCCACTAGTGGTGCTAGAGCTGTAACTTCCCCATTTACCCCCTTCTAAAAGCAACTTGTAATATTGCACTGTTCCTTAATCAGACAGTATCTTTTATCGTTTTTAGAAGCAGACTACTTTGAACCAACAGATTGAGCAGTCATGGAGTTAGACAAGGCCATGTTCACCCTTCTATATTAAATACTACATCAGAGAAACAAAAATATATCTGATCAGGTAAGTGTCAACAACTTTTAGGTTAGTTAGCTCTCATGTTTAAGAGATCAAACTGTCGTAAAGCAGCGCTCTGGGTCACATGACTCTCTCCCTCTTAAACCACGTAAGGTAGTTTTTGAGAAGAGTTCCCTGCATTGAGTGTCGATACGCACTAAGTGCTGCTTATTGTCCTAAAAAAACCATTTGATACATCTCAAATGGAGCTAATGCTTCGGATTAATGTTGTTTTATTGTTCTTTTTTTAAGTTTATTTGTAAATATATTTTGTGGCCAAAATATATTTACAAACTGCCATTTTTTCTTTCTTGGAAGCAGGATAAAAGCATAGAGGGCACAACAGAATCTGTACTGCCTAAAATCAAGCACTTTACAGTTATTTCATTTTCTATACGACTCTAGTCGAGAAAGTAAATAGCCATTTTATCAAGGTAAAGTGTTTGGCTTTTTAGCTTGTTTGAGGATGATTTTTCAACTAATTAAATAGTGAAATAAGTGCTCAATTATCAGGTGCTAATGACCCCTGTGGAGGAAACACTTCAGATCAATTCAGTTTGTCACAAAAAGCATAATCTGAGATAAGTTACATGATAAACAGGACTATTTCACATGAATGTATACATGGAAACCAGTTTGCTCCACCTTTAGTTCATATTTACCTGTATGATCTAGTCCTCCAGTCATGTTTTGATCCAGCTGTCCTTTTCACCCCCCTACAGCAGAATTCATAAACGAGGCAAATGTTATCATGTCAACAAAAACCAGAACATTACTAAACTTACCAAACTGGTTTTAGACGGATAATTGTGCTTTAGGCCATCTGCTCTGCCTGGTCTGGTAATAAAACCATTTTCCATGTCTGGATAAAAAAAAACAAAAAACCTTGATTTGAAACACTTTTGACTTTCCAGTTTTATTTTTTCATTTAAAATATACTTATTGGTGCTTAATAAATATTGTGGTTTTTACAATGAGATATCTCGCAGCTTGATTGTTAAATGTAATATATATTTTTTGATTTTTGTGATGCAAACTACAACTGATTAGGAACCATTTTGGTCTTTTCTTCTAGTATAATTTTTGCAATAGCAGAAAATAATAGGTGAGACTAATTTCAAGGCCATGGTAAGTATGGCATTGTTTGTTTTCAATTGGGAGAATAACTATAAAATTGAAATGATGGCAGGTGGCGCAGTCATTAGTGCACACAACACATGTACGGAGGCCTTAGTCCTCGACGCGGCCGATCTGGGTTCGAATCCGACCTGTGGTCCTTTGCTGCACGTCTCTCTTCCTCTCTCATTGCACCCTTTCCTGTCAGCCTGCTGTTGAAAAAATAAGCCACAAGTGCTGTAAAAACTCAAAAAAAAAAAAAAAAAATTAATGATAATCCACCAAAATGTGATTGTCATCATTGTGGGGCTGTTGTTTCAAATATCGACCTCTTTAAAGCATAGATTAATGCTGCAATAAAACATTCCCTATACTTGTATAGCCTATGTAGGGCCCTCCTTTCATCTGGTGATCCTTTTTTAGACCAAAATATTGGCTTGATTATAAATAATACTTGTTGTCATATTTGTGGCTATGACCATAGATACTATAACATTTAGTGATTGAAATTTGGACCCAGTCGTTTTGCGTTTCTTGTGTTGCAGATCAGGATAGTAAGGTTACTAGATTCTTTTTTTGAGGGGTTTTTGATTTGAGGAAATAAACAACAGTTTTACTTCTCTGATATGGCGTGTTTGGTTTTCAATAAGCATAAAGGCAATAAGCCAGGGCTTTGCATCGTGATCATTTTATACGCCATGCTGAGAGTTGACTTTTGCGTACATGTCTTGGTGACAGGTTCACACAGCAGTGACTAATGGTGTTTGTACGCCTAAAGCCTGTCTCAATACTACCATCAAATTGCATTCACTACACTTAGTCTCCAACTCTCGCCTGCGGAGATTGAATCCGTTCATCCTCTTCTGCTCGCTCAGTCTCCTACATGGTGACACTTCAGAGACTTTTACAGTCTAATCTGTTCTTCCTCCAAGTCAGATCTCTGTTTGTATCGAATGCATTGACGTACATGGATCCTGATTGGAGTGATTATCTGTCAGCAGGGCAGCTGTTGGTAGGTGGATCTGTGAA